CAGAGAAATGTTTAGATTAAAAGATATCACGATTTTCCGACGCCAGGACGTGATATCTTTCAAAATCGATAAAAAGCGAAATTACTCTGAAATGGTTGAGAATCGGACCATGGACAATATGAACTTTTTTGTTCATTTTAGGGTGAAGAATCTACTGGAGAAGTTTGTAGCACGAGTAGCAATTCACCCTGTATACTTCTTTGCCAATACGTCATAGCACTTTTACAACTTATTTATTTGGTCGACACGAATGCTGCTGACTCTGACCCAATATGTTAATATTTTATTTATTTATTTTTTAAAATCTAAACACTTAACAAAGCTCTTTCACATGAGTAAGTTTTTTGAACAAAGGGCCTTTAGTCATTTATTCTTGTAATATATTTTACCATGCACTTCACTGAGCTATTATTATTTATTATATATCTATTATTTCTTTCTTGGTCAGCGGAGATATTCGTGGAGCCCAATGTTACCCTCTGTTATTAAAGTAATGTGGATGTAATTTAATTGTTACTTTAATGTTTCCAGTTTATGAAACCTACATATGAAGCTTTTGTAGAAAAAAGTATTGAACATGCGGTTATGAACTCGACATTACCATCACTGACATCCCCATCTGTTAATGGTAAACACAAGCAATTATGATCAGTGTTACCTCGAAGCTTTCTGTTAATCATTTTGTTACTTTCACTGTTCTATTTTTATCTAATTTTAAGAAAAAATCATTAGCTAATATCATGTTTTTTTTATAATGTCAGTAGTGCAAAAGAATTCAATTAAATTATTATCAATGAAAAAATAAAATAATTTAGAAACAAAAAATCATTTTCAAATTGAATTAATCTACTTACACATGTATAACAAAACTACTTTGTTTTGTAAATAATAAATAAATAATTTTATTCTGTATCATTTGTCCATCAGAATCTGCATCTGTCTTTAATTGTACAATGTAATTGGATTAATCTTTTATTTGGCAAGGGTAACCAAATGCTTATAATACGCATGGCTAATTCTAATCAAGTAGCATTCTTTATAAATATATAATATTTGTACATAAATATAGTATATCCAATGGTCTCGAAGACTATGTTAATTCTGATAGAAGTATATTTTTTCAAGCAAAAACTAAATTTAAAAAAAAAAATTAAAACAATATTTTCTACATTGGCTAGGTTTAATAAAAACTTTCTGTATAGTGTTAATGCTCTCTATTTGAATCAAGTATTGTTACATTATTTTAAGTTAAAAATTGCTAAATTGTTTTGTTTTTTGTATGTAAACATTGAAATTATTATCGTGTGTGTATTATAGTTGTTTTAAATTTTTTTTTTTTCGTCCACTTCCGTCAACTCGGAGACGAGATTTATTCATACAGGCTTCGTTTTTATATCATAGTTTACATTTAATGTTATATAATTTTTTTTGTAAATGAAAAAAAATTGTGTAGTTTTTTTAATTAATATAGTTTAATGTTATATTTAAAATTAGTTTTTGTGAAATAAACTAACTGCACCTTTATTCAGTTATAAATAGAATTATATTTTTGAATTATGAATGTAATGTTACAAAAAGCGAGTATGTCAAAGTACAAAACAATGGTACTTGTTCAAATATGGACACGATACATTTAACATTTTAATGGAGGATAAACGGTGTCTGCTGAATTCCTTATGCTTATTAATTATATAAGTAAGAAAACTATTTTTTCTCCCGTGAAACTAACTTGTAATCTTTCCTCTGTGATTTCTCTGTGCCAAATGACATTTTGCAATTTTTATTACAATACCTATTTAAGATTTTGGCTTTGGTTTTAAATTAATTATTAATTTTGCTACCTTTTTAATTAGTTACTTATAACTTGCTGCTAAAGAAAGTCTTCCAAAACATTTTCTCGATACACCCTTGATATGGCGTTTCCATAATTTCAAAAAATAGACATAGCCATGTTTTGCTTTTTGTACGTTTCTTCGTTCTTTGTTTTGTTTTCTTGGGAATGAATTATGTACTCTTTCCATAGCTCTGACGCGTTCCGTCAGCAATGTGCCATTGGGTGATTCACAATTAATTACTCTATTACTTGTGTGGTTTTATTGGATAATTGTGTGCCTTTTAAACTTTGTATTTTGTAATGAACGATGACCACTTTAGAAAACACATTGAAATAACACCATTACATTCACTGTGATTAATTACGATTATTAACGTTGTCTTGTTTTCTTAGAATTTCCCTACTTAATAATTTTAAGTTCATTTAGTTTATATTTTATATATTTTAATAAGTAATTGAAGAAAGTATAATTGTAAATAGAGTCCAATTAAATGTTATTTATTTATTTAGTTTAGCAAATAGGTATTAATGTGATAAGTGAAATATACTGTGGATTGTTTTTGGTGATGTTGATGATAGATTAAATATAATTTAATTTCTTATGTAACAATATATAATAATTTATTGGTTAATTACTTATTGTTAATAAGGCAAATAAAAATACTAATTGCTTTGCCTTACTCCTTGCTCAATATTGTTTTTAATCAAAACCTATCATCCGCATCTGGGGATGTTCTAAATGTGATAAAATTGCTGCCAATAATTACTGTTTGGTATTTGGTGTGGGAGTTAAGAAAGAAAATTAGATACAAAATAAATATTTTTGTTATTACAGTTGTTTCGTTACTTTATTTGACATCTTTACCTTTAACAGATAGCTTTGTCAATTTCATTATACTTTGATGAGTAAACTCTTTGTTTTATTAATTTTGCACTGAACACGTAAGAAGATACACTGGCAATAAATATACTGAGACAAAAAAATAAAAGAAAGTATTCATTGACTTAAAATACAACTACAACATTGGTAACCTTTTCACCTATATAGAGAAGAATGTAACATAAGTGTACATTTAGGTTGTGGATACTTAGCAGGATTCCTTAATTTGTTATTTATGTTTTTGAATTTATCAATGTAATTACCTCCTCTATTGAAAAATTCATGGAGTGTCCTGTAAATAAAAATGTAGTGCAATGGCAAGAGCTATGGTGAAAAAATAAAACTCGGGAGGGTTCCTCTTTACAAAGGTGAAACATGGTTTACAAAACTTTTTTTGAAGAGATTTCATATGGTTAGTTGTATTTTTGTATGCACCTTCTCAGCATACCATATCAAATGTGGGCTTGAACTAAGGTGTCAGGGGGCCGCGGTAGCCGAGTAGTTAAGGCGTCAGACTCGGCTAGTAGATCCCGTGGCCGTGGGTTCGATCCCCACCGTCGCCTCTGTACTTTTTCTGACGCCTAAGGGGACCGGTGGCCGCAATTTAAAGAAATTGACACGGCACTCATCAAAGGAAGGGGAGGGATCGGATCTCAGTGGCCTTGAATTTGGTCCCAACCCCCTTCAAAAATGAGTTTCTTCGATGGACGAACACCGGTACAACAGGGGCTCAAGTTCACATTTGTGTTGTGAGCCCTCCCCCAAAATATGGAGCCAGGGATAAAGTACAATAAGCTGTACAGCTCAGCTGCAGTGCTCAGGAGGGAACTCCTCCAGTCCCTGGTATCAAAAAAAAAAAAAAAGTGTAGTATACTTTAATTAAAAGTGCTTTATCGCATTTGTTTTGCAGGAAGTAAGATCTTTTTAGACCATGTAACACTTTTTTACTACTTCAACATGGTCAGTCCATTTTAAATGACTATATCTATAGTAATATCGAAATAGGTTATCTTGTCTTCTCTTTCCATATCAACACAATCAGGGAGACAACTTATTCTAATTTTTACATTTTCTATGGGACTTTTAATAGTGAAATACATAAATTTTGTCTTTGCACTTAACGGTTGACAGTTGTAGGAAAAACCATTCTCTAAGAATACTAATATCATGATTTATCCTTCCTTCTATATCCACCCAATTATTACCTGAATATTTGGCAGAGATGTTAGAAAAAGCTGTTAACCCTTTAAGTCCTGATGTAGTAACATGTTATTAACATGTTTCCAGGCAATGTAAAGGTTAGGTTTCATACGATCTTATGGAAAATTTCTCCACAAGGACTTTTCTTTTTCCCTAATTTATTTATGTGACAATTCACACTTGACTATGGCAAAAGTATTTTGTTGACAGTACAGGCCTGACCTCACACACCACTGTACACTGTTCCCTTTAGTGTTACACCCTTTTGCAGGTGTGTAATGCTACTTTTGCATTTTTCAAACTATTTCCAACTGTAATTCCATTGAACGTATTTTCTTGTTTCAATTGACAGTGCGAAGATGTGACTTTGGCGACTGGTGGTTAGGGCGTCCGACTCGTATTTAGCCCACCTCTCGTTAGCAACACACATGTCGGTCTTTAAGGCCTTCTGTATGGGAGTAACATTTCTCTCCAATAATTTCATACTTTAAAGGCTAAATGAAAACACATTTTAATTGAGTAATATTCTTTTTATTATGTCTATATCATTTTACAGAATGTACTTTTCACCAAATGAGTAGTTTTGAGAATTGCATATTGCTGCCATTTCTGTAAACACAGGTTCAATGTCGACTCCAGATACACATAAATTGGCGAATTTATATAGATGTTGGAGAAAGTAAGTGTGCTGTGAAAAAATAAAGTTTTTATGTTTGGAAAGAACACAGTAAAAGATGGTTACAACATACATCAGAGGTATTTAAAATAAGAAAAATCAGCTTTTTAAAGCTGCCTTTGTCATACCTTGTTAGTATTGAAGCACACTTCTTTAAATTTTGCAATTATTTGTCGGTAACAAGGGAAAATATCTATGTTTAATGGATATCTTGTTGTTTCAAGCTGCTCTTGCAATTTTTTATCTCCTTTAGTTGCCGCTGCCATGATTAAAGATATTATTTTGTCAGCCATATCCCTTCCCTGAGAATTTTTATATTATAATTATTATTAAAGTCTTTCTTTTGTAATGTGTAAACTAACATTTTTCATGTTTGTTAATTTCATCTCAAAGTGTTGCCTCGTTTTGTGGTCAGGGGCATTTAACGCATTCATTTTGGCGAAGTGGAGTGCAACGTCCCTACTGTTTACACCTACAGCGGTCTAAGAAAAAGAATATTTGGTTAATAAAAGTACAGAATATGTTTATTCTCTCTTGTTATTTTTATCAAAATAGACACAACACAGAAAAAAAAAACTTATATTACACCTAATTATTATTAAATATACAATGTATTAAAAAATATATATAATTTATTAACTTACATTATTCACTGAATTTAAAAATGTGGATGAGTCTTCCACTTCGACAACATCATAACCCAATCTGAAATCTCCGTAAAGGTTTACATGGCTTTTGGTTACAGCAGTTCTCACAACTCTGTACTGGTGGAAAAGTGTTTCAAACATTCCTTTTGACAGCTATAATATTGAGTTAAAAATTAGTATTAATTGTATATTCCAAATGTGTGAAAATAGTCTTCTTAACTGTATCCATATGCTCCATCCAGGAAATACTGAATTGATCACCTAGGCAAGTTCCATTATCGCAGTACCATCCCCAAGAAGATTCATCTCGAGCAGCTGCAGTACTGACATAGACTAAACAAACATCCATCATTTATATACATTTTGGTTATACTATCAACTAAAAAAGTACAGTTTCTTTAATCATTCTAATCTTGTCTTTTTAAAATATAATAAGGACCGCTGACTACATTTTTAGACTAATAATAATAATAATTTATACAGTTGCTTACTGTTCATGTTTTCTTCCAAAATGTTATCAAAGACAGATCCAGATTCACAGGCTTCGACGTACAAAACAAGCTAAACAGCATAACATTGTATTCAGAGTTTGTGCATAAATATATATCGAAATAAGATTACCTTTGCGAATCTTTTTTCTTTAGCAAGTGAACGCAATGCTTTCTCCAAGATATCAGCATATAAATCATCGTCAGGGAAGCAAAGGAGACCAACACCCCCATGATCAACAAAGTTAACAAAAACGTGTGAAGTATTTGTACTGAAATAAGTAATCAGAAAGTAGTTTGAGGAGATTAAAAAAAATGCTGTTCTTTTGGTCAATTAAGTTTTTATACTTTTTATTAACTTACCTTTCAATCACTCTACCTGTTCCAACTCCTGCAACAGCCGTTTTATTTCCTTTCAGAACATTAAGGAAGGTGGGAACATTAACATCCTGAAAAGTGATCACAAACAATGTTTGTTATATCATAAATTACACAATTGTCCAACTATTAATTTTACATAAATTATTAAATAGGCAAAACAAGATACATTTATTTTTCACCCACTGGTGTCATTAGTTTGTTATCTGAAGTAGGAAACAAGTTCATTGGGCTCAGACATGCTTAGGTCCCGATATCTTTATTTTGTACGTACCATGTTTCTTTCTATGTTTGTTTTGGAAATTTTTTAACACAGCCTATGTTACTCTTTTTTGGAACAGATCCACAATTGTATGCCTTAAATCAAGATAACACAGATCTAGTTATAAATGAAGATTTTTTCTTCTCGATTGACAAACGGGAATTTCTTCCAAAAATACAAATACGGCTGTTTATATTAAATACCATTGCATTTTTTTAAATTTTATTTGGAATAGACAAAACAATCCTGTTTCCTCCTAAAATCAGAACAGAGGACACAGATACTTCAAACACGATTCTTATACTGGGTGGGATTCCTACACACTCCCTGTACGGAGCCAAGGAGTGGCACACACAGTTAGGTGGGACACATTAAGCAATCTTTCTCCGGATATATAAGTGGGCTTTGGCCCAAAAGTAAGTGTGTGTGTTAACCTCACACGGCCTATCCTTAGTCAGGTGAGTATGACCCCTTCTTCTACAAGTCAGGCCTCCAAGGGCCACCTATCGCTCTTGATACATTAGAGCTTCTCTGCTCAGTTCTGTTTTTTAATGCTTGTTTTTCATTTCAGTTTGTTGTTTTGAGATGGTGCTATTTTTGTGATTATATTGAGTGAATGGCGCAATCTGCGAATGTTGCTAAAGTTGTCCTTTTCTGTTAGTGAGCCAATAAGTAAGAAGTTCATTGTTTCAAGTTTCATTCCATTTGACGCAGCTAATAACAAGATAATAGTTATTAGCTTAAAAAACTCACCGTTCCCTTGTAGTCGACTTTACAGCCTTTGTAAACATTCGGCCCTCCAGGTTTATTGAAAAGGGTGCCTTTTTGGGGGTTGCTGCAATCAATGATAATCGAAATCTACATGATCTTCATTTTGATATGAATCATGCAATATTGCAAAGATGAACAAACATAGTCAAATATATTATACAATTATATGCCTTACTTGGGGTCGTTTGCAACGTCGTCGACCATCATGACAACAACCCTCTCAGGTGGAACTCCTTTGTCGAGCATAATATGGTAGGCATGGCAAACATCAGCCTGATAAAAAACAATGATTTATTCACAATTCAAAAGTCTGTATTGTGTGAATTAATTACTTGATGTCTGTAATTGTAATAGCCGCTTGAACCAGCAACCAGAAAGGCCCAGACTTCATTTTGGGGTGCAGGACTCGGTGCTCCCTGAACCGATGCCAAAGAGACAATCACACTAAACAAAAATAGCAGTTTTCCACCTGAAAATAATACATACAAACAAATGAATTAGTGATTTTGAAATTTAATTTCAAAGGTTATGAGTTCATTTAAAAGATCAGTGTCATTTAGTTATTAAATTATTATATTATTTATTTTTCTTTTTTACGATGGTTTGCAACAGCAGACCCTCGGGGGTGCCGGTGTTTTTGAAAAAAAGCCCATTTGTAAGTATGTCTGGTTCCAATGCAGGGCCGCTGGATTCGAACCCGAGACCTTTACCTTACAGTAATGGAACACATCCACCAAGGGTCATGATTCTTACAGTAATGAATTCGATCATAATTGAACATTGTTGCTCCTCATGCCTTTTTAAGGCTCAAAATACACCGGATAAGTCAAAACATGAAAGATCTAGAATGGTACTATGCGTAATGGAATGTAATCATAATAAAATTTCAAAAGAAATGTGTGGAGTTTAGTGACCATTCATGATTATTTGGAGATCATGAGATGCGGTCTGGTGTGACGTAGGTTTAGAAAAACATTTTCTTTATTGTGCCAACGTTTCGATCTTTATTGAGAACATCTTCAGGGTCTGGGATTTATAAACATTGTTTAAATTATACGAATATATGTAAGATGTGAAAGATGAGTTTCTAGCATTGTATAAATTGAAGATGATCTCAATAAAGATCGAAACGTTGGCACGATAAAGAAAATGTTTTTCTAAACTCACGTCAAACCAGACCGTATCTCACGATCTCCAAATAAACAGATAAGAAAGTCCAGTGCCTATAAGTATGTAGTTAATAGTGTATGATGGAAAATAATGAATAGGAGCATTTTGTTGGAACAAAAGATGGCCATTTTCGAGATGATCTCCAGAGGATCTTAAGGGAGATAGATCTGGCCGTATTAGGTGAAGTCCCCTGAGGTATAGACCCTATGAGCAGTGACAACCCTTCGGGGTGAAAGTATAAAAGATATATTTGTAACAGCCTATAATATATAAATTTGTTTTCATGATATTTACAACTGCCATTCATAATAATTTTGTCAGACTATTCATTAGTTCACTTTAATTAATGTCATCCATTCTGAGATGCAAAACAGAAACATGGTACATTTAACCCAAAACAATGACGGATCGGATTTTGTTCTTTGACGCAATCTTTAAAATGTAGATTAGGATTTTTTGACGATTCATACCGTTTTTTGCTCCCGTTTTAAAAAGGTTTCATTCATATAAAATATATCACATATATATTATATTTTATCAGGCTTCAAGGCATAACAGCGACCATAAAGATCGACTTATGACATATTTAAAATCAATAAACGCTTACAGCCGCATATAACCTCCACGAACGTATTTATTAGCGTGAGTGGTTTAGAATGCACAGTTGCGGCTGTGACTGAATATCGAGTAACTCACAGGCCCACCGATTTAGGTTAGTGATAATACATTTATAGTACGATTCTGGGAAGGGTCGACAGCGTCTTGGTTGTAGTAATATTACCGAGATGCTGCGTCCTTTCTAGTATGATCGTATTTATTAGCGTGAGAGGTTATGTGTGAACGAACGTGGCTGTCGAGGAATATCGAGTGCTCCACAGGCCCGTCAAAAAACCTTAGGATTAGTTTTATGGATGAGTGGAATTTGTACATACCGTTTGAATGTATTTATTCGCGAGAATGAAAGGAGATCGGCAGGATTAGAACCATCTTACCGACCTCCACTTTAGTTGTAATATTAGGAAACTAGGTTTATTAGTATAAATGTGTATTATGAATGTGTGCGAATGTAAATGGTCAAATATTCAATTTACAGAATGTGGAGGGATACAAAGAGAAATGCAACAAAAACCGTAAGGTCAGATGAGTAGCCAATTAGAACGAAGCTATCGGTAGAAAAAAAAATCAGGCTTCGAGGGGGCGCGATTCCATTCAATCTTCTTTTGACAAACGAGCCATTTTTGTTTATTATTCATTTAAATTTGATTACAAAATCGAGAAACATTTTCAAGTTGAAACTTGATTTCTATAAATAAAACAAAGAGAAAGGGGTTTTGAAGCGTTTAATCCTGGAAAGAGACAGAAAAGGGAAGCAGATTTTTAACGAGGAAGAGTTTTGTTTTCAGTTTTGCTCTTCAATACCCAACATAGCAAATATAATAATAAAACGTATATTATCTCCCCTCTGTGTGGAATATAAAAACACGTTAGCAATCTCTTGATAACGATATGAATTTTGTACCTCGTTAATCGAGATATTTCGTGTCGGTGAGTAGTATTTAATTTTACAAAAGCTATTTTACTTTCTTCCAAACCGAACTAAGACTATTTACTTTCTAATAATAAATTAGAGGAAATGTTCAGGGTAATTAGCCATGACAGAAACTAGTCAGTTAGAACCGGGTGACCCCCAGAGCTAGAATTTAGTTTCGTGTGAAAAACAACGTGGATAGAGCCTTTTATCTCTAATTTAGATTAGTTAAAGTCTTCGGAATAACGGATCTTCTAACATATTAACAGTAAGTCATTTTAAGTGGAAACTTAAAGTTTTATGTTATTTATTCAAAGGGTTTTCTATCAGATTTTTCTCCAGTGGTGACGAATAAAAAAAAAGCGATTTCAATGTAAATTATGTTTAGAATAAAATCATGTCAGGAACGTTGCCTCGGACATCTCATTTACGACTGCTTCGAAGAATATATTTTCCGAAATATATAAAAAAAGCATATAATTTATCGAGTAACATGTAAGCCGCCATTGTGTCACCCTTATGAATTATTTGTCGGGGACGATTTGTTTGCGAGTAATCTGATCTCGCTATGATTAGGATCAAAAAGCAAATTCAATTGTTATCTGCAAAAGCTTTCGACCTATTTTAACGCAAAACCGTCTTATAGATTACTGTAAATTGATATAATTAAGTTTTTACTTGGAACAAGGGGGACAAGTTTGAGTCTATCTTCAAAGATATTTGAAAAAATTAAGTAAAAATTTTTACTAAAAAAACTCAACTCCAACATTGCTAAAGATTATAACTCCCTTGTTGCAATTTTGGGGCTGAGTCTATCTTCAAAGAAATTTGAAACCGTTTTGTAAAAACTAAATTCTGTCAATTTGTAGACATCTTTAAACTTGTTTTGTCCTGATGATGACTTTAAAGTAGGTCGGAAGCTTGACACACAATTGAATTTGTTTTTTTTTTTTTTCATCAAGACCATACGAGATCCATATTATCCATGTTATATTGTTTATAGTAGTGAATTTTTTGTGTATAATGAGAGTAATTCTATTTATTAGAGTGAATGTGTGGTTTGGGGGCTCCATGGGTACTCCAATATCCATTTAGATTAGTTAAACATTCACAGTAAAGGGTGAGAAATAGAGAGTATTACACCTACTTGAATGGATGGTATGTAAACAAGAAAGAGCATCATCATTTACAAATATATAACTAATCGAATTGATGGATAAAGTACTCAATATTCTACCATCAACCCTTTCAAACCACGCATTCGTGCTAATAAGATGCAGCATGCTCTATGGATCACAATGTCAAATTGACCAACGTTTGCAATGATGAGATATGGCAATGTGTACTATCGCGTTTATCAGATATTTTCATGAAAATGAATGAGCTGAGTCTTTTTTTGCAAGGAAATAGTGATTACACATTTCGATGCTAATGATAAAGTTCGCGCCTTGAAAAGAACAATCCAGTTTTGGGTGGAATCCGTTGAGAACGAAGAGGTGGAGTTTTATCCTGTGTGATATACGATGATATTTTAAAAGAAAACAAATTAGATCTTGCGAACGGCACGGTGATTGATGAAATTATGTGAACACCTTCCAAGTTTGGAGATGTTTGAACACTATTTAGCAACAGCTCCTACAAAGACCATGAAAGGGTCAAACGTTTTCAGTTTCAACAAAGCCAACCGGTCTATATTCAAGTGAAGACGAATGTTTGATAGATATTACGTCAGACTCCAATTTTAAATCTACTTTCCAGCCTGATTCTTACCCTCATTTTTGGCTCCGTTCAGAAAACAAAAACTTTCTATCGCTCGTTGAAAAAGCAAAACGTGTTCTTCCATTTGCCACAACTTACCTACGCGAATCCGGATTTTCTATATTTACAGCCATCAAAACTAAATGCCGAAGCTGCCTAGATGCTGAAACCATCATCCGTCTCCAGCTATCAAAAATTAAACCCAACGCATCCAAATTGTGCAGGTTAAAACTACCTCACTTTTCCTTCCTATTAATTCATTAATCAATAATTTTTATTTAGAAATCGTGAGATGCGGTCTGGTGTGATGTAGGTTTCAGAAAAACATTTTCTTTATCGTGCCAACGTTTCGATCTTTATTGAGATCATCAGGCCTGGGATTTACAAACATTGTTTACATATTACAATTACATTTTGGATGTGGAAAAGTGTTAATAATGTGTTAATCAATAATGTTCAAATTATTACTTTTGAATTTTACTCGAATTTTACCTAGCTATTGATTCCGTTCTGCCCAATTTGATTTTTGTGTTCCGGATTTTGTAAATAAAATTAATTACGTCTATCAAATGTTTGTTTTCATAGTGATATCCCCCGCCATCAACTAATTACGAATGGAAATGAATATGAAAATATGAAACTTTATTTTACTATATATAATATAAGTATTTAATTTTAAACACTTGAATGAGAGGGGTTCGCCCTGAATTTTGTTCTGTGAAAGGGGTCTGTTTCTAAAAAGTTTGGGAAGCTCTGAATTTAACACTTTAAATATCTGTTTGTACATGATAAGTCCGCCTTATCATGTTTTTGATCCTTAAGTCATTTCTGTTTTGGATCCTTAATTTTTGTCTAATTTGATTAGATGATAAATTTAACGCATATATTAAAAATTTGACTTAGCCGTGATGATTGTGATGTCATAACCGAAATGTAAACAATACAATTTTTCTGCTTAGACCTTTTATTACAAGAAGAAAAAATAACGTTTGTAAGTTTGTTCGGTTTTCTTTAAAGAACTTTTGTTCTTGTCCCCTTGTTCGTTTTCTTTTCTTTTGTGAAACGCAGTACACACAAAATGACGTATATGTTCGGCGAGGCCAGAATCGATCCGCACTGATTAACGGTTGGAAGCATTGTCACAGTCTACGAAAGAATAGCTTCCGCGGTAAAAATAAATATGAAGATAAAATTAAAACCCTTTGGTGGTGAATAACCCGAATCTAGGGTGCCCCCTCCAACCGTAAACCTTAGATCCATTAGTGTAAGACATCGTCTAGACGTACTTTCCGGAATATTTGGGGTAAGTCTTGCAGCAGGGTAGGAAAGGGTTTTCAACAACCGACCCACGTGGGTGGATTAGAAACGTGTTTTTCAACTTGCAAACGATTAACGACAAATTACCGTCACGTGGCTGTTGTGCTCTATTATTATTATGCACTAATAAGGAAAATAAACTTCTTTTTAATGCAAAAATGATTCGCACCAATATTTAAAAAAAAAAAAAAAAAAAAAAAAGGAACAGCTTAAAAATACTAATAATTATAAAACCTATAGTTTATTTTACATAGAAAAGTAATAATAAATAAACATTATCTTACTAGCCAAGTTTACAAGCTTATCCTTTCAGTTTTCCTGTTTTCTTCTAATAAGAGAGGTCTACGGATAGGGGATCACATTGTAATGAATTTTTTTGTGTGATACTATGTAGAAAAATGATTATAATTATGATTATTCGGAAATCGTGAGATGCGGTCTGTTGTGACGTAGGTTTTAGAAAAACATTTTCTTTATCGTGCCAACGTTTTAATCTTCATTGAGATATCTGAGAAAAGATGATCTCAATAAAGATTGAAACGTTGGCACGATAAAGAAAATGTTTTTATAAAATCTACGTTACACCAGACCGCATCGCACGATCTCCGAATAATCTTAACTAACGGTCACTAAACACCACACACGATTATAATTATTTTAACTTACTCGGTCACAAAATAGTTATGCATTGTACAGTACTCTCGTTATCCTCGGATAAGTACCAAGCATCACCGCTGATAACGAGACTCTTAATTTTAATTATAATTCATTTTCATGATTCAAAAATTAAAAGATCAAAAATTCTCAAATTAAATGGAAATACTTTTAAAATATATGCATTTTTTACTTTTCTAAAAATTAATTTATTTGTAGTATTTTTACATTTTTGAGAATCGGGCCTCTGTGGTTACAACGGTTTAGGCGACACGGCCCTCATCACTGTAAGGCTAAGGTCCCGGGTTCGAATCCAGCGGTCTTTTTTTCCAAAACACACAGCCTGAGTCTTTTTTCAAAAACACCGGCACCCCGAGCCTCGTAGTTGAAACACCCTCGTAGAAACAGGCCTCAACGCTTTTTTCTGTTTAAATTCAATGGTAATTTGGTCGTTACACACAATTTAAGTCGGCATTTCACCATCTTCAGTGTACCATCTGGCTGATGACCCACCGATGATGGCGAAATGTCGAAACACGTCTGACAGACGAATCCAGCGAGGTAGGCACACCAAAATGATCGGTAACGCCCGAATTGTAGGTTCATCATCAGATCTCATTGTGAGATAGAAATTGACAGAAATACCTTCGTTAATAAATTTACATTTTAATTGTAATTAATTTTTATATAATCTTCTACGAGCCCAATTCTTTTATATAAAAAAATAGCAAATATACCGGAATTTTACTTTACATCTTATATTTCATACGAGCTCCTGAGTTTTTTAATGCTTTAGAGAATGGTTAATTTAAAATTAAAAAGGTTCATTTGATCTACAAAAAAGGTTAAAAAGGGTTAATTTAAAGTTAAACATGGTTAATTTGAAATTAAAACGGTTAATTTGTAATTAAAAATAGTTAATTTGAATTTAAAAAGGATTAAATAATTTAAAATAAAAAAGGTTCATTTGATCTACAAAAAAGGATAAAAAGGGTTAATTTAAAGTTAAACATGGTTAATTTGAAATTAAAACGGTTAATTTGTAATTAAAAATGGTTAATTTGAATTTAAAAAGGATTACATAATTTAAAATTAAAAGGGTTAATTTGAAGTGAAAAAAGGATTAAATTGAATTAAAAAGGGTTAATTTAAAATTAAACATGGTTGATTTGAAATTAAAAACAGTTAATTTGAAGATAAAAAGGATTATACAATTTCAAATTTAAAAGGATTGATTTGAAGTGAAAAAGAAATACATAATTGAAATTAAAAAAGGTCAATTTGAAGTTAAAAAGGATTACATAATTTGTAATTAAGAAGGGGTAATTTGTCGGAAAAATGCTATAGCTCTGGTAATTTTAATATTACCTCTTTATCACAATCAGCTACTGATATAAACGACTTGATTTTTCCGTTAACAAAAAACTAGGTTTATTTGTTCAACACATGGAGTAAGAGACGATGCGTTAAACTTATTACTTGAAGACCGATCAAATAGAATTCAAGAAAATATTCACGATCTGCTAATATTAAAAAATTATGGGATGATGTTGTTCTTCAGTAAAGTCTGTTGATTACAGTATTGTAACAAGTTAGGATTTTCAGTTTGATTCTTACATCTGTAATATCCATTGTTCTATTGATTTCTTGTACAATGGGTTAATAATGATGGCAAAAAATCGATTTTTTACGTATATTTTTATTATGGTAGCGCGACATAAAACAGTTTTGGAAGTTGGTACGGAAGTAAAAACCAAATCTCCGACGCCGTTCCATCATCACTCATTCGAACATAGAACGCATACAGGTGGTATTTCTTTTCTCGGACAGAAAAGTCGTTACCACACAATACACTATTGTCCATTGTTTTTTCACTTCGAATTCCACAGCAGGGCAATTTCTATTTTTTCGTCCAGCTCCACGAAATCTGTCTGACATTTTTTGAAAATTTACGTCAAGTTGTAAACAAACCCTGGTGTGTTTGATATGTTCGGTCCCAGCGGTGGATCGATAATTTATACGTTTTAAACCTTGTTCGTTAATCATGATGAACAGGGACCGGGTTTAAGGGCATACGACTACCGAGCGTTCGTAACCATGAGCCTGCTGTTAACTACAAACACTGTTATGTCCTGAGCCATTATCCTTGAATTTGATCACATCTTGTTCTCTAAGAACGTTTACTCGAGAAGATACCGTCTAAGATTGAAAAAATATATTCAAAAGATAAATAGTTCAAACTTTTCCATTTTAGACTGAAGTGAGAAACAATAATTGAGCACATATAAAAGGTGGATTTTATACATCGTCTACATTTTTTCTTTTTTTTTCTTTTAATTTTAATACCGATACGTAACAAATATTACTAAAATATTATTAAATGAAAACAGTTTGCTTTTTCACTTACCCCACATGATTGTTTTTGAAACTGATTATCCGTCCGATGTTGCTAATATTTTATATCCTCAGTAATCATCTTGATAATCATTTTTTCCCTGTTAATCCTGTCTGATTATAGTCTCAAGTGTAATTTATTAATGTTGACTTATGATATTTTTTTAAAAAGAGT